AGTCTAACATACAAATACTCCCGAAACCACTGTTGTTTTCAGCCATTGCAAAATTTTTAATAGCAATTCTTAAAGTGCTTGAGTAGTATGGCTTGGAATTCAGAGGGAGATTTACATAGCTGTGACATGTTCTCCTAGCAGTGATTCCCAGACTTTTTGAATTAATGGACATTTAGAATTTGAGACTTCGGACACTGACAGGGCAAGAGAGAATTGAAAACTACGACCTATTGTCACACCATTAACCAAAATAAGTCGGTTAAATCCCACCTCTTGCTACTCAGAAAAAAAACAAAACACAACAAAACAAAAAACCAAGCCAGGATTTAACACCCTCAACATTTCGTCAAGGATTAGCAGGACAGAAATAGTAAAGAACAACATTTTTCTGATTGATGAGCACCTTTTGTCTAATTATTTTATGTGTCTAAAATATTTTATGTGTTGGAGGGTACCCAAATTTGTTCTCCTTTAGTGCTTGGAGTACTCATAGGCATACCCATGAGTATTACTAGTATTAGTTCAACCAAAGGGCTATGATAGCCAGAACACAGAGCCACAGTTCAATCAAAGCCTTTCTAAAATTGTGTCTCCCACTGAATCTCTGAAGCATCAGAGTGGTTTCTGATCACAGCAGTTATCACAGCACTAATATCACACAGCTGGAGTATCACGGTAGAAACAGAGGAGTATCTCTAGGCACAGAAATAAGATGCAAAAAAGTCTAATACAGAGACTTTAAGAAATACACTCAAATGGAGCTGGCAAAGACTTCTTCACGACTTATTCTCTTTTGATTCCCGATTCCATTTGTAGTTCAATTTTTAATTTTCCATCCTCACTCTGTCTAGCTTGATGACTACTCACTTCAACTGCGAAAGTAATATTGATTTTTAAAAACATTCACTGTATAATGAAATATAAACCCAATAAATATTAGTATAATTCTCATAGCTATTTCAGTAAATCCTGCAGCCCAGGCTAATAATTCCATTACCATTTTCATTTTCTTAGGTTGTTTTTCACTGAATATTAACTTAATAGATTCAATTATTATATATAATAAAAAAACTAAATTTGAAAATTTAGAGCATTCTTTATTCTCTTTTCTCTATGAGATAGTAGGTAGACACATCTGTATGTTCTAAAATCTCATATTTTAGGCAAAAGTGCTATAACTTGGGGTAGTCTGAAAATGCGTATCATGATAGAAGATACAAATGAGTTACACATGAAAGACATATACTACATTATTTCACATTTGACAAGAAGTATAAAAGGTTATGAAGTTTTCAGATAGATTAAGCAATTATGTTAGTCTTTAAGAAGATCGACAACCTCACAAATGTTTAATCGATACAGGATTGCATGGGGTTTTTAAGTAGAAAACCAAGCAAACTAACGATCGGCGTGATTTGTATTGATGATATGATTAAACATAATATTATGGAGTTTGAAAAATAGATTTCAGGTAAAATGGATATAAGGATGGATAATGGAAACATCTGTTAATTCCATTTAGAGTAATAGGTGAATAAATCTTTTTCTTTTATGGGACTATTATAGTAGCCCTTTGCAACGATGTAAGTGGATATAGTTCCGTCCTTTGGTCAGGCAACTTCCCCTTGGCTCTGATAGGTATTCCTTTAACTTCCTGCTATGACATTCATCCTCTCATCTTTCCTCATAATTAGATTCCCCTCCTTTCTTCTCTGAGATTTTCAACTTCCTCAAATATGATCAGGTGTCTGCCATCTTAAATATTCCTTCTGGCTTCCTTATGTCCCTTCTTAGATTCTACCATAATACTCTCATTCCTTTCAAAAGGAAGCTCTTTTCTTGAGTTTTCCAGGTTTCTATGTTTATCTACTCCTTAATGTAAGTTCCAATGGATTCCACTTCATCAATTAAGTAAATTGATTTTGCCGAGGCCACCAATGACTTCTCCATTTCTAAATCCAAAGAGTCTTTAATCATACTTACCTTGCTTGATTTTTTTTTTTTTTGGCACCACGTGACACTGTTGACCACTCTTTCCTTAAAACATTATTTCCTTCTCGTTTTTTAGAGGTCATTGGAGTTGAGAGCCCTATCTATTCTACGTAAACTGATCAGTCAATGCCAATCATATAATTTTATTGGCTTGCCAGGGGTGGGAAGTCCTTAGCTATTTTGGATCAGTGAGATGTAAGAAGAGGTTTGTTGGGAGATTTAGGGTTGAAAAGTTCTGCTTGTAACAGACAGCTATTGGGAACTTGGTTCTCTCCCTTGATGGATTTGAAAAAGGAAGCTTGTATCTCCAATTGTCATTGGTAGCCCACTTATAATAATGAGAGGAACCAATTTTAGGATAAAGCCAACAGTATGGATAGAAGAGTGGAGAGGAAAAAAAGCCCCAAGTATTTAGATTATATAACTGAAGACTAAATCTGAGGCTTACTCTAGATCTTGATAATAAGCTAAATATTTACTTAACATTCAAGGCTGTTTCCTTTGAATTTTCTATATCCTGTGGCAGAAAGAACCCTATTGATAAAATCTTTGGTTATTCCTTCTCTGTTCTTCCTAAGATCATCCCTTAAATGTTGGTGTTCCATGGAGTTATATGTCACCATCTCTCTCACTCATAGCTAATTATGACATATATCTGATGATTGCTAAGTTTGTTTCTTCAGCTAACATTTCTCTCCTGAACTTCAGATAAATATATCCAAATATCTACTAAACATTACCACTCAGATACCCTAAATATACCCCAAATCAACACATTAAAACTTAAACTACCCTCCCCTCTTCCACTTCTACTTAGTACTCTTTTTGTACTTCCAATCTCAGTGAATGGCATAAAATCAGTCCCTTGTCCAAATTAGAAACCTGTGTGCCAATCATGGAACTTATATCTATCTCCTATATCCTATGTCCAGTCGATCATGACATCATATTGGCTCACTTTCAAGAAGATATTGAATCTAGGCATTTCTCACCACCCCCCATTGTTTCCATCTACTCTCCCCTGTATTACAAAAGAAGCTTAACTCATTCCATTGCCTTCAGTCTTTCTCCTCTACAATTCATTCTCTGCAAAGCTATCAGAGTGTTCTCTAAATGAAAATTTAATCTTGGCTTTCCCCTGTTTAAGACACTTCAATGCTCCCCTTCTCATTTCCTTCCGGGTAAAGTGCAGCATGATCAAACTTCTGTTTACCTTCCGGCCTTATTTCACATCACTCCTCTTGACTTCTTTTAGTTTCTTTACTAAACAGGTACCCTTTCCAGATACTCTCATAGCCTTATATCCCAACTTCACTGCCCTAGTCACACTACATTATATTTATCAGCTATGTTTAATATTGCCCAATAGGCAGATTGATAACATGTGTACTAACATGCAAATCAGGTCATTAACAATTAATTTAGGTAAAATAATGTGATAGTTAATACATATTTTTTAAAAAAGCATTGAAGTAGTCATCAAGAGGAAAATCATCACCTAGGTTACAAAGAATGTGATTATATATGTAAGTCATGAAGCACAATTATAAAATAAACACTCATGTACTTAAGAACTAAGCATAAGAGCCACAATTCAACTTAAGAAATAAAACAGTAGCAAGAATAATACAAGTTTCCTCCCTTAGCCTACCCCCAGCCTTCCCTTTAGAGATAACCATAATCGTAAATTTTGTTAACCATTCCCTTATAAAAATAGTTTTCTGACTCATGTACTTATGCCTAAACAATTTATTTTTAGTTTTGCTTGTTTTTGAGATTTATAAATATGATAGTTTTGATGTGTTCCATCTTCTGAAACTTGTTTTTTACTCAAATTATATTTCTAAAGTTTATACACATTATCATAATTATGATTAACTAATTTTCATTGCTTTAAAATACTCTTCTGTGTGAACAGCAGAGTTTATTTACATACTTTCCTGGTGGTTGACATTTGGGTTTTTCCAGTTTTCTACTATTATAAACATTACAAGTGTCTTGGATAATATCTCAGGAGGGCAATTTTTGGATTGTAGGGTATGTGCATGTTCAGCTTTATAAGATAATTTGATACCAAAGTGATTGTGCTTTTTCTTCCTACAAGAACTATAAAAAGGTTTCCATTGTTCTTATAGTGGCAAGCAACCTATATTTTTCAGACTTCTTAATTTTTGTGACTAGTAGGTATAAAATAGCATCTTTTTTTTTTTTTGTATTTCTGGTTGACAAAAGTATTCAGTTTTTAAAAATGTTTATTTACTTTCCTAATTCCCCTTGTACTTTACCATTTTTTGTAGTGTTGTATGTCTTTTGTTATTGATTATATGAGTTTTAAAAAATATATTCTGGAATACCAATCCTTTGTCCCTCATATATGTTGCAATTATCTTCCCAGTTTGTGGCTTCTTCTTATTCCCGTCGTGATGTATTATAATTGCCTACCTGTCACTTAGGCTACCTCACTAGACTAAAAGGTCTTTAAGGTAAGACACCACCTTAGTCATTTTTGTTCCCCAGTATCTAGCAAGTGCTCAACACATAGCTGAGCACATACAGTTGCTCAATAAGTATTTATTGAATGAATGACTGGATGAATGAACTGCTATGACTTTGAAAATGGTAAATCAACCTTTTTTAGCCAAATTTCGTTTTACACAAATTGGCTGCACCATACTGCTAAACTAAAGAGGGTCAGAAGTATGCATTACACACAATCCTGTACTTGCATTTCAAAGATGGGAGTCAGGCACTAGTAAGAGGTGAGAGTATCTGCAGAGAGGTGGCAGGATATTGTTTATAAAAATTTGTTACCAATTCTTAACATTTGGTAGTGTTCATTTTTCATCTTTTCAATGAGCTTACAGTTAACTAAGCTCCTTATAGTGGGATAAAATTTAGCCTAAATTTATTACAAAATTAGAAATGTTGTTAAGACACAAGATACGGATTACATATTACAATGGATGCACAAGGTTCATGGTTTGTGTCATTAATTTGAAATTGGTTACCTTTTTAGTAATGGTGTCCGGAGGTACATCCCGCCTCCCAAGAGGATAAGGATTCCATTGGCCACTAGGAGATACATCTTCTTGTCCATTGTCTAAAATGTTGCTTTGCTGGGACGGGGTCTATTGCGAAAATGGTATGGCATTCTTTAGTGATGTAATAGAAGTTTATCATAATTTTCTGAAAAGAGTCCCTAGTGACTATGATAAAATTAATTTTGTTTAATTGCAGAAAAACAAATATCCTGAACTGGAAGAATTATTATACACTATTTACTCAGTAAGAATTCTAAATTGACAGCTTTTTGGAAGCAGTGAGAAATTCGATTAAAATAACCATCTTAGAGTTATTTACTGAATTTTAAAGAAAAGTTTAGATTATTTACAGTACCTGAATAAAAAATAATCAGAATAAAATTAACCAATTGTTAAAAACCACAACATTTAAAACCTGCTTAATTCATTTCTTTAGTATGATCTTACCATTTAGAATATAAACTGAAACCATATAATACATAGTATGTAACTTTCAATATTTCAAACCATAACCTAAAACAAATTTTATAAAACTGTACTGATTCTGGTAGAACATGACTTGCACTAATCCAACATAGTGTTAATACTAGCATAGTGTAAGATTTATGGTACTATGACATTATCTACAGATTGCTTTTAGGAATATAGGAAAGGAACATCAAAACTATTGTGCTATTAGAATCATGGCATAAATAAATGACTTTTGATTTTAAATTTATTTATATAGATCATTTATGCTTTAAAGATTAAATTCTTCATATATTTGTAGCTGATTTACTGCTTATTATTTTTAACAAATAATAATACCCCTGTCATTATTATTATTAATATAAGATACCAGGGAGGACTCCACAGTCTGAACTGAGTAATAGCAAATTACACACCATCAGAAAGACAGCCTCCAGTGGAGGGATATAGTACTGGTATATTTTTCCTGTGGAAGCAGATCAACTTTTTTTTATGATTATATATGTATAATCATATACATACTTTCTCCTCCCCTAACCTACAGGATATCCAGATACTCCTTGATTTCCTGGGGAATTCTTATGTGGGTGAGAAATTATGCTCAGTGTTTCCTATGCCATTTTCTGTATATGTTTTGAAGTAAACCTATGGATAAATAAAGCCTAGTTAGAAGGTATATGTGCAGCTCTACTCTGTGGGAGGAACTGTCCAACCCCAGGATGGAAGAACTGGGCCATTCTCTTCACAACATGACACAGATGGGCTGCTTGGCAGCCGTGATCTGGTTATACAGAGTGGTCCTAGTTGTTTTTTAAAAGACAATTATATAACCATCCAATCTGCATTCTGACTGCATGCATTTTTTTTTTAAAGGGATTGCTTGGAACTGTTTTAAAATAAGATTATGACACTAGATGAAGTTTTCCTAAGGTCTAATGGATATAATGAAAAGTAAGGAGTAGCTCAGTTTTCTTCTTGTGCTATAGCCATAAGAATTCCTTTTTCATGAGTCTATCAGAAAATGTGAAAAAAGAGAAAAAAGGTACTGAATTGAAGCATCTCGGTTAGTTAGGGGTGAATTCACTTGAGTTTGTTTGAAAAATCACATGTAGGTAACACATTTAAACTAGAGACTACTTGAAAAAAAACCACAGCTATTTAATGCCTGTTTGTTTTCAAGCATTAAATTTCTAGTCGTTTCCTTTTTCAGATTAACATGTTTGTATATGCTCACACACAATTTTTCTAGATATTAAAATATGAGAAGTCAAATTATTAAAATTAAGCAGTTAAAATATAAGTTTTCAGGGTAAGCACTACTGACCGGTGTTTTTGTTTGTTTGTTTTGGCTTCAATTAATGGTTTAAACTAATATCCATGTCTTTCTGGCTTGATTTATTTGCCAGTGAAGTAGGATAATGCACTGTTTATCTGGTTAGGTGCCTGTGCAAAATCTATTTTTGAGAAGAGGCCAGAATGTAACACAAGCATTCTTTTATTTTTTCCCCCTCCATATCATTCTCCTCTCCTTCCTATTTCCTCCACTAGTCTTGCTTCAGCTGCCCAGACAGGACTCCTAGTCACAGAGAGCAACTGAGAATTGCAGAATTCTTTTGGTGTTAAAAACAAAAAACAAAAAATGCAAAAATCCTTTAGTCAAAATCCTAATATCATGATGGTGTAGGCTCTTCCCTAGTTTAAGAATCAATCTTTCTCTTTTTAAAATTAGAATTAGCAACCACACCAATTCTACAGTACAGGGGTCAGAGGACACATAAACATGCAGACACATGAAAAAAAAAATACTTTTACTAGACACCAAAATTAAAAGAATTTCCTGAAAGCAATTTCCTTTCTCCATTTCAAGAATGCTCTGACGTTTTTGTTTTTCTTAAGTAAGATACTCTGGGGCCTTAAGTTTGGAGAAATAGTAAGACCATGAAAACAGTTTATTAATGTTGGGTGTGGGGGGGTGGTCCAAAAGAAAATTATACAGTGGGTTCACATTCTGTCCCAAAAGATGTATAGCTATTTACAAAAAATTATACTTTTGATAACATGCTACTGAGTTGTATATAAATGCAGTTGCTTAGTTGTTAAAATTCTATAAAAGATTAAAAGGAACAACTGAAATATATAAAAAAAATGAGGCTATCACTGTTGAAATTTGTTATTGCAGAGATAATAAGCAAACTGAGGTTCAGTTATTCATTCAATTATTTCTAGTACCACACTCTAGATATTTTATTTAGATACTTTAAAAAAGTAAGAATGAGTCTTCTTTTCCTCAGCATAAATAACCAATTAACTATAAAAGACATGGAAAATCACCATAATGCACCATTTTCTCAACTTCTAAATTCTGTAGGTCTTTAAATATTTTAAAAAGAACAGAGAAAATGGTCATTATGATTTAGTGAAAACTCAGAAATTATATTTGTTAAGAAATACACTAATGCTAGGAGAAGTTTTGCTGAAGGGATACAGTCCCAGAAATGACTATGGACATTTGTAGATTTAACATTTATGTTTTTGACTACTGTGAATGACCACAAGTGTCTACTGGAAGAAGTAATTTCTAATTTTGCTGAGATGTAAATGTGCGTGAAGATCTGTGATATACATGTGCATATGTGTGAGAGTGTGCATGCATGTGCTTATGTGTGTCCATATGTGAATATGTTTGTATGTACAGGATTCACAAATATGAATAAATGAGCTTAGCTGATTTAGTAGTTTTGCTTTGGTTAGCTAACTAATGGGTGCACTGAATGCCTGACAAATTAGACTTACTGCATTTAGCTGGAGAAATTATATGAGAGTGGTATTAGCATTTGGCACTCTGCAAAGGTCTTGGGATATATGCCTTAAAACTCAAGGATCTGTTTTGCTTAGTAATTGGCATATAGTTCACAAAAGGCATTACCATAGATTTAAAAATGTTTTAAAAATAATCTTCCCCAAAGTATTTCTAATGAAAATTATTGTTACATTATTCATTTTCTGCATATATTTTTTAAAAAATAGGTATTATAAATATATGCCAAGTTTCAATATAAATCATTATGATTTCAAGGGGTTTAATCTGAAGGTTGTAATGTAATATACAGATGATTTTTTAAACCACCATTTCATTGTCATGGTGAGGAATCATCTGTATGAGTACTAACATTATTATTTTGGTAATTTTAGTCATTGTCCTTGAGGATTTATGTGGATTTACAGGCTGGAGGTTTTTTTCATAATTAGAAAGATAAGTGAATCTTTCTTGAGTGATAGGTAGCCAATAATAAATGCAGCAGAATCAGTAGAAGCTATAGGCATAAGTTGCCCCAAGGTGCTGCACAAATCTTGTTTTGCTTTCAGCCGAAAAAAAAATGGAATTAAGTAAGTAACCCTTGAGACTAGGGTGAATAAATGCATATCAAATGTTGGTACTATTTGATCCTGAGTCATCTGCACAGATGCAGTAAGAAAGGACATTAGAAATTTAAAAATAATTTAGGTGCACACGTTTCTATCTAAATTTCTCTAATCCAAAAGATAGTGGGATGAGTATCAACTAATAAAACAGATAGCAAGGCCATCTTCTTCCAGGCAAAATTCTATGAAAAGATTCTTTAATACGTATATTTCCATAATTTTAACTTCCCTTACCCTGAAATTGTAATTTATATTAGTGTCTGTTTCAAAAAAGCCCAATAAGCAGTAGGTGCTATGGTATAATATTATGGTGGTAGAAGTTAAAAAGAAAGGAACAAGGAAAGAAGTGTCAATTTCTCCAACGTGGAAGAAATCACACTCTACTAGCAGCCACACACCTGCAGAGGGGGAGCTAGGAGAGGCCAGTGATTTTCTTCCCCAGCCCCACTTGTCTCTGGGGGTGCAGTTGCAGGAACGATTAACTTGTGATTTTCTTGGGTTCACAGTCTTTGGCCTTTCACTGCCATGAAGCATATTTCTTGGTAACACCGAGTGCCCAGGAAATGAAAGTGAATCTTAAAGAGCCTGAGGTAACTATGAGCATTTATTAGGTTCTGCTAACTGAGAGAGCCCTGTATCTGTGGCACATAGGGAATGATTTGGGCATGATAGGTTTTGCATTAGTTAATATATTCTACTATGTAGTCTTTTCTCCATCCCATAGATCTATTTTTCTGGATTATTGTGAAGATGACGTGTATGAAAGAGCTTTATCAACTATTATGAGTTATGTTCCCTAAAAATGTCAGGTTTTATAAATATTTGAGAAGGCTCATTGTATGGTAAAAACAGCAGGGACCTTGGTGCCAAGCAGGGTCAGATCAAATTCTACCTACTATTATGTTAGGTGCAGAAAGAAAAGGGTAGAATGTAGGTAGGTTCCTTTGTGTGACACAGGAGCCTCAGTTTCCTGGTCTGTACAATGGAGATAAACACTTCCTTTGAGGGTTTGTGAGGTTGTGTGAAAAAAACATATTTAAAGTACCTAATGGTACGAGGCACACAGTAGATTCTTAATAAATCCTAGTCTTTATTCTCCTGTCGAAATATTTTTCTACCATTAATCTGGATAATAAAAAAGGCAATTTGAATTGACATTTTATAGTATTATATTTCTCTCTAATAACATAAAATTTCAAGACAATAACTAAGCTCAGTTACAACAGAACACATCCGAAGAAGCACATGGAACCATTAATAAAGTCATAGAAAGTTGCCTTAAATGCTTTTTGGAGAGGCAGCAAATAAATGATTAATGAATAAATGAATGAATAAATAAATGGATTAATAGAAAATACTAATAATTCTATAATTTAATAATGACTTATATATGTTAAATGTCTGGTTACAAGTACTGTCAAATTTTTTAAGGAAATTAGAATAAACATTAATAAATAAAAACATTAACGGAAATTAAATATTAAAATAATTTTGTATATCTTAACATTTTGTTAATATCTTAGTAGGTTTCATAAAATTACCATAGATTATGTAATTTATGGTTCATAGTATAAGAAGCCTAGATGTAGCTTGCAATCCATGAAAAATGTACAATACTTGACCTGGCATGTAATAAATATGAACACATTAGAAATATTCAAAGCACAGAAAAATCTGGGAGAGTCTTTTCTTTTCATCTACATAAATATTCACTTTGTAAATAGAAGTACAGATTCTTCAATCTTCATTTACAAACAGCTATAACCTTTAATTAGTTTATTATAAATTTGTTTAAAACATTTGAGAAAAAATAAGTAGATATATTTGGTAACCTAAACAGAAACTCAAACCGAAAAACAAAATAACACCCTGAGTCAGGACCTCAGCTAGCACAAATAGTGCCTTTCTGCCAGTTACCAAAATGGAGGTGGGGGGAGGTCAGAATCACAGAAAGGTGCCCTCTGGGTACACAACCTGCAAAAATGTCTCTGTGTGACAGAGAAAATATGAATAAGAGCTCCTTTCTCTTAATTGCAAGAGGTAAGGTTTGCCAAGCAGAGTACAGGGAAAGGGTGTGGACGTCAGCCCCTGAATGGTCCCGGAGGAGTAGCTGCAACTCCATTTCTAGTGCTTAACCGGTAATATATGTGAAAATATTAGTTTATTTATTTACATTTTTTAATTTTTAATTTTTTATTACTTTTATTACTTTTTTATTATCTTCAGTTAGCCAGCATATAGTACATCATCAGTTTTTGATATAGTGTTAATTTAGATTCCTTATGACATCCAGAGCTATCTGCCACAGCACCTACGTAGAGATGGCTAGTATTGTCATTTAGAAATTTTATAAATAAAAAGAGCTCTCGTATTTCCATGGGAGAATGAACAGTTTGATCTACTGAAAATTCTTCTTTATAAATTGATCTTACTCTATATTTTCAATGCAATTCTCATGGCTAACAAGCATTCAGAGACTGCAAAATCTTAAATTGCTGATACTAATTTTTATTACCTTAAGCAGCAAGACAAAAATGTTGTAATAGGTTTTTATGCATTTGTAAGTCAAAGGAAAATAATTTTTGCCTCTCTCCTCTCCCAGTGAGGAAGTTTCAGGGAAATTGAACTTCAACCATAAGACCTGTTAGCAATGGTCAGTGGAGCCAAGAAAGGAAAATTTTAAGAGAAGATGACTCTAAAACTTGGCAGAAAAAACAAAGAAATTTTCAAATTAAAGAAGCTCTGCAGAAGCGCTGTGCCTGGGCACAAAGATGAAGGGGTAGAGACTTAGAGTGGAATCCATGGGAGTAAGTAGAGTCTGGAATATTCTTGAAACATCAAGCACCCAGTGCCTGTACCTGATAAGGTTCCTGCACCGGCAGCAGGATAGGAAAGTTGCCTCAGATGCCTAAAGCTGAAAGTTTAAGGCCTTAAACTGATAATCTGGGGTCATAAAGTCTTTTAGGGGTAATGGGGTGCTTGTCTTGTCTGTATTTCTTTTCTCCCCCTTGCCTTCTCTTCTCTCTCTCTCTCTGGTGTGGATAATAACATATTGATGATAATTCACTTTGAGATGGAGTCTTTCAATATTTGAATTATTTTTGGTTTTCAATTTAATGTAGCTTCCAAAGAAAATTCCTTTAGGTCATCTCTGTATCTAACTGAGGATGGTTGAAAACTCTCTAAATATTAGAACTCTCTAATATTTCTGATATAGATTATCTTAGAACTGTACTAACAGTTAATGAATCCATTCCCTAGGGTACCCCAAACAAGATCAGAAAGTTAATATAGCAACATAGAGGTACCAAATTGATTTTTGGGGAACAATTTAGACATTGGGAAACAGCATTTCAAGTATATTACCATTTTTCAAACACTGAATATATTCATATTGTTCTATAGGTGGATGAGTTTAATAGGGCTAAACATTAAGCAAAATAAGGGGCTTTCCATATAATTTCAACAGGTGCAAGCAATAGCTCCCTTCCTATCAAGATCTTGCTAATACAACCACTGAATTTTGAAATTCCATCCTCTTTAAGGGTTTGATTTCTATCAATTGCCAAGCCCTCTAGGAGAGGGGCCTATTTAAATGGTGCTGTCTTATCTATTACTCAGTGCAAATTCAACGTTCAAAAGTTCTTAATTTAGTTAGGTTTTTTTCCCCAAAATGACTGTGGGTGATGAAAAAGCTGTGAATATAAATATCTCTTTGATTTTATTCCTCTATTGACAGTATGAAGCAAACTATCCAGAGTTAGGAATTGTTATTCAGACTAATTTAACAATAAAACATGGATTGAAGGTCTTTGACCCTCATTTTGCTGGGATGGGAGTTAGTTCCATATGTTCATTAATTTTATTATGAGAGAAGTATTTGGAGGCTACTGTCATTCTGTTATCCCTACTTTGCACTGCTTTTTTCATAAAACTTACTAGGTTAATGACTATATTAATAATATAGTCATAATGACATATTGCATGAAAATGACTCATTAGTCTCCATCAAAATGTAACTAAGACAGAGGTATTAATCAATTTAAACAGGTAAAATGTTCATTCTCAGTTTTGCCTGAATAAAACAGCAGAAATGTTCCTTCGACAATGGAAATGTTTCTTCTTCCAGTATATTTCATTTCAAATGAGCCTACAATTATATTGAAAGCCCTGTTAACATGCTCCTTTTCCATTAGTCTAGGTTGAGTAACAATTTGCTAGCTAAGCCACGAACTTGTTTCTCATGTTTTATTTCTGTGTGATATTTTCCATAAAGACAACGGGAAGCATTTAGGAGTGCCAACCACTTCATTTCCATTGTAATTTAGGTCGCTATGTCTTTACCAAAGGGATCAACTGAAATCCAACAATAACTTCTAGCTCTGTTCTCAGAATGCATCAGCAAGGGAAGAGAGGGCTATCTCCAAAAATGTTTTAAAAAATACATGTTCATATATCTACACACACAAAAGAGAGGAAAACAAAGAATAAAAGAAAAAGAAATGAGTAATAAGAAAATGAGCCTTAAAGCAACTCAAAAAGCCATGTACCTGCTCAATCCAAAAAGCAAAGCTGTTAAGCAGGAACCTGAGAATCATTCTAGCTCCAAATACTCATTTAGCAGCTAAGAGTTCGGGCTCTACATTATTTGCCCTTATGCTTTTTGGACTCAGAAGAGTCTATAAGTAGGGTTGTATGTACAGCCTAAACACATTAAGTGAACAAACAACATTAACTGGCTTTGGTATGCTGACACATGTAAGGCAGTCCATACTTACTTTCTGAAGAGGTAGTTCTTGTAGATCAAATTTAGACTTAGTCTGCAAGTTTAAAGTCATGCTTCTGCCTGCATGCATTGCTGAAATACCTCCATAGGGCAGCATGCCAAGGTTAACTGTGTTGTGTTTGTAAGCAGCATTCTGAGTAGAGGAAATAATCATGTGACAGGGTGTGAACACATGCTCAACAAACTGATTATTACATGAACATGTTTAAAATTTATAACATTTAACTTTAAGCGGGCAAACAGTAACTGTCTTTTAAACATGCACTTGATCAGACAGAAGCATACAGTAAACAGTGTTAGTTATGCACATAATGAGTACCATCCAAAACTACAGAAAAGACAAAAAGCAAGGCTACATTCTGTTTTACATCTGCTGCTAACTCAAGGGCATAGAACCTATTCTCTCATATATCATGATCGTAGTGACTTTGGACAAATGTTGTTCGTCTGTGGTAGTCTATTAGTTAAAAAAAAATTCAAACAGTGAGATCTTAATCAAATTTTGCCAGCTCCAAATCTCATGGTCTCTTTCACATTGTGAGATAAACACATACACAAGACAAATACCAGCTTCTAATTCTGCCCTAAAACGAAGGCACTACAATGTTAAAGCCAAAAATCAGTGTCCTTTATTGCTCCGTCTATAGACATAATTACAGCAACTCAGAAAGAGAGCTGGTCAAAAAAAAAAAAAAAAAAAAAATCATTCAACCTGACTATTGGCTAATTGAATTTACTGATTAATTTAATTAAACCAGTCAAAGAAATTGTTTGTGAATCCAAAGTTTCTGACTTTTTTTGTTTCTTAAAAATTACATTTTAAACTGGAGAAATTTCATAATGAAACTAAAGGAATTATGATTTGAGCTATTAAGACTACTTATCTAATGTACCTAAATACCTATAGAGCACTCTGGTGATATCTGCATTGTGGCTATCCTTCAACAGGTGCATCTCAGGTTATTCCAAGGGTCTGAGAGCTAGTTAATTTTCTTCTACAGAACTTCATTTAAATTAAAACATTTTTATGTCCCGTCATCAAATAGTTTCCATTAGGACAATCTCCACTTTCCACCTCTCATAAGAAAGTAGTAATTGACAGTATTTGGCCCTTTTAAGAAATTCTCTCATTTTGGAAAAAAAATCTACACAAGTTAACTTAGTAAACTTTTTAAAAACTGAGTATTACTGAACAATAACAACAGGCAGCTATTCTATTCTGAGGGCATTGTTTGCAAAATAATGATTTTTAGCATCAGTTTCACTGAACTCAACTGAAAGACAATTAAACTCCTGATGGTGTGCTTGTCTACTGATCATATTTGTTATGGATCCTTGATTATATCATCCAGTGATTTTTCATTGTCACCATGCCAAAGATGAAAAGGACACTGAACATTTCAATCTAGCACTTGAATGATTCCTTCAGGTTTAAAATTATTCCAGTCTAGTCCCTCTTAGCTCCTGTAGAAAGGGAGCAGTCTTGGACATATGGGTTCATGTTTTAAATTCTCTCAGTCACAGTGGGACCCTGTAGTGGAAGCATGAGCCTCGAAGTTAAACTACAGGAGAAAACAGCACCTTTTATCTACGGCAGTACTTGGAGCTGCCTCTCCAAGGTCAACACCAGGCAAGATCTTTAACCAGCATTATCTTGGGCTGTTAAGCTTATCCAACGTCCAGGCCTCTGGGCAGTTCTCTCTTATGAAGAATGGACAAAGATCGTGTAGTTTCTAGTATAACTATTTGATTTCCGGGTTCAAATCCTCAACTAAATTTCCCTGGGAAGGAAACACACGGTATCTCCGGTGCAGTCTGACTTTGAATGTTACGTTAAAAAAAGCACAGCTATGTCAAAACTAGTCTTACATAAAAGGTCTGTGCTTCGGTACCCTGAATTCATCTTTTGAGTAGCTGGAAAGTTCTAAGTAAGATACAGCCTGAATAGCTCAGTCACGCAATTGAGATGGGGGGAAGAAATGTTACTTGGAGAAAACAGGAGGACAAACTTTCAGGCTCTAGTGGCTTGAAGCAATACTCTCAGGTAACCTAATTTCTTGGAATTAAATAGGAAGCTATGGAATATACATTGAAATTGCTCTGGAAAATGAAAGACAGACTGAGGGAATTAGAAACGAAGAGGGGAAGCGTGGAAACTAATTAAAGAGGAAGGTGTTGTCACAGCAATAGGAAACACACATGAGTTTACTTTTAGTTCTCTGGATCTGGGCCAGGCAGGGCTTGCAGACTTCTGCCAATCCTAATCCCCTCCCCTGGTCCTAGTTTCCTCTCTCCAAAATCCTGCTCCAGCTGGAGGAGTAGCTCCATTCAAAGGAGAGGAACCATTTATCTGAGAAACCAGTAAATAAATGATGGTACCAAAAGCATTTTGTCTTCTTTTTCATGCTTTGTTTTCACTCACTCCTCTGTTGCCTCAAATTACTAGTCATTGTACATATGCTCTGAAAAGCTTCTTATAACCTTTCTTGACTAGTTCATCTTACCCTGTTACGTATGGTCGTGTCTACACGAGGCCAGAGTTCCCAAACTGTACTGTATTATTTGGCCCCAAATATTTTCACCCTCCAAGTTATCTGTCTACATGGAGGGTCTAAGTTGAGGTAAGGCATGGTGACAACTGACCAGGTGTCTCCCACTGACAGCCAGTCATGAGGCTTTGATGAGGCTCCCTTCAATGGGACTGAGCACACCTATTTGAAACAGACATTCTGATGAAATATTTTGCAAGGCAGAACCAATTTCCACATTGAAAACTAACACCCACACCCACATTTGTTAGTTCACTTGTCCCTAAAAATAATTGTTTTCGCGTCATGTAGACACGACCTACAAACAATATAATTATTTAGAAAGAGTATACCTGAAAATGCAAAATTCAATATTAAGGAAATATATAATAAATGTAGTGACCTGTGCTTTTAGCAGGACACCAAATAAAATAATAAAACTACTGAGCAAAACTTTCTAATGGTATATTATTTCCCAGATCCCCAATTTACTCTAAGTATTTAAACCCTAGAAAATGAGAGCAGAAGGCCCTATTTTCACAAAAAGGACCTTAAGATTCTAAGGTCAATGCAGAGTACACAAGACCCTCTACACCAAAGCCACAAAGTACATTCAATGAGAATGGTCAATTATTGATCATAGTTCTAGAAAATGAAATATCAGATTTCTCTTCAGGAGATACAAATAGGCAACAAAAAGTAATTCTAGGCTTTAAAATTTATATATATATATATATATATATATATATATATTTATCCTCCTCAATCACTATGCATTCCATGCTGTAATGTGACTCAGTTTGTAACTGAATTGGGATTAACTTTCTTTTTTTTTGGTTGCAATATATGCACTAATTTGTACCTTTGTAGTCTTCATAAAGACATCGTCTATTTTTGTCACCTGTAGTATGATTTGAAGTTAAACATTTCTTTTTGTATAAAAATCAACATTGTAAATGGCAGGATTTTTTATTGAGGGCATTCGATCTCCGCTTATTTTATTTTTCTGTTTCTTGCTGGGAAAAGATTATTGCTCATTGGAAGTAATAACTTTAGTCGCCCCCTAGCAGTAACTGTGTGGGACAATTTTATAGACAAATTAGGCCTGACTTTATTATAAGTGAGTCTGTGCAGAAAGGGGCCAGATACTCACTTTTTCTAGATTGAACAAAAATCATACTCTTTAGGTCGCTAGAGAACAGTTCTGTGTCCTAGGAGAGGCATTCCGCCTTAACGGCTAGAAAGCACCTGAAGCACCAGCCCACACAACAGCGTCAAATTCTTTCTTACTAACAATAGTTAGGCTAGACTGGGTAAATCATTCGCCTACAGGTTACGGACTCTGGAAGGGCGTTAAACAACATCCACGAGAAACTGTTACGAGCCATTTCCCCACAATAGAGAGAGAAACAAAATGCTGATCATCTGCTCATTCGTGTAGTTCATGCTTCCCTACATGTGCTTAGAGATGGCAGTGCAGTGCAACTAAAGGCAGGGGGGGTATTCTTACAGAGAAATGCCGGACATACCCTGTCTAACCTTCTAGCTTCTATATGTCTAAGCAGCTGCTGTCTCCAGTCTGCAGGCATTTTCCCACAGCTCTCCTCTCCCCTCACAGGGGCGGGCCTCGGCTTTATATCACTGTTATCTGATGGCTTGTCACCATAGTTACCCAAGTTATAGTCAGATGGCAGTTTTTCCAAAAGAGCTGCCATAGTAGGCCTAGCTGAAACTGGCCTGGTTTGGGAGGCACCGTAACTCTCTGTACTGTAGCTTCTTGCAGACAATGGCCTCCTCTGCGTAAGGTTTTTAACTGGAAAACTTCCCGCCTGAGCTTTCACTTCTTGATATGAAGGGTGTTCATCTTCGTACCTGCCATTCCTTTTCAGGAACTGGGACTCAGTCACTGAAACGCTGCTTTGGCGATCCAGACCGCCCCTATACGGAGGTCTGCCGTACCTATCACCCGGAGGCAGCTCATGAGGTTCACTGACCCTTCTAAACATGGCCATCTCTGTGGAGCTCGCCAGGGAGTCGGCTCTTCTCAGGAAGCCCGTCCTGGCACCTTGGCTTGCGAACTGGGCATTCACCACAGCATCCTCATTAACGGATGGCTGAGAAAACGAGAACATTTGCTCCATCGGTGGGTATCCTCTGTAAGCTCTGGGACTAACCAAATCCTTGCCGATGTTTTTGCCGGGCTGTTGCACGTACTCAGAATTGTGTTGAAACGGGGGCGGTATCCTCTTTTCGGCTTTAACTTCCACTGCTCCTTGGGGATTGAAGCTTTGGTCAAACTGATAGACTTTTTTGGTCATGGAAGCTTTTTGTTGCTGTGGCCCTTTACTACTTCCATACGTGAGCATCTCGTCATCCAGCATTGGGACCGACTGGCTTCGAGACATACTGGACATACCATGCTCTGGTCCCAACATTTTATCTGGCCGTTCATGGCTTCCTAAGTGATCACTCCCAGAAGCATAGTTTTCTAACGGTATGTTATACACCTTGTACGTACCAATGTCAATCTCATCGATACTCTGGGACTTTTTGAATTTATTGGACTTGATATCTTTCATGAGTGGGGAAAGCCTCTCTGTGCTTTTGCTAATGGAAATAACACCTTTAGAAGATTCTGGGCGGCAGTGGATCTGAGAAAAGACATTGCTAAGACTCCTGTTGGGATTGGAATCGTGATACTCCCATGGTACTCCTGGAGAAAAAGGACTAGGTATTTCAGCAGATTCTTTTATATGTTCTTTCCTTTCAGGCAATGGGCTGGTGGTGGGGGTTGTCTCTAATTTGGAAGGGAAAGCGGTCCTGTCTTCAAAAGGACTAGGGGTTCTGGTCCAATTCTGCCAGGGATTGGAAGGAGGCACTTCTGTTTCTGGTGTGTGTCTGTGTGTAGACTGCTCGAGTTCCAGGGGAACACCAACAATCCTATCCTGCCTAAGCAAAGGCCTGCGTCCGTGAGAAGATGTGCTTCTAGATTTTGAACTTAAGAGAGGATTGTTGTTGGCATTCTCGCCTGCGGTCTCCTCTGCAACAAACCCTGTGTTATCATAATGTGAACCATCAGGCCAGTTGTCTGTGAAGGCGTCACTCATTGGCAGCCGGTCTGGACGCTGCGGTACATTCCCCGGGGGAACAGCCTCCCGCTGGCTGAGTAATGGCTTTGAATCGAGAGGCTGTGGGAAAGATTGCGAAATCCTGTGAAGACAGTGGGAAGACGAAATATGAAAATAAGGACGAGCTGGGTCTTTGCCAGAAAGAGAACAAGCAGCCAAGACTGCCACAATCCTCTGTTTCACAGATCATTCATCCACACCTCACTTCCGATTAAGATGGCATAGTTATTTCAGGCCCGCGCCCCCCCCCCCGCCCCGCCGCCAAATCCACCCCTTTACCTTGCTCTTTTATTTCCTCCTTGTAATCATCACCTTCTAACATATTATATCAGTTACTTACCTGTTTTATTTATTGTGCATTGTTGTGTGTCCTCTGCTAGAATGTAAACTCATGAGGGCAGAGATTTTTTTTTTTCTTCTTCAGGCCTAGCATAGTGCCTGGCACTTGGTAGGCATGAAAATACATATTTGTTGGATGATTAAATGAATAAAAGAAATAGATAGGTCTTCAGTGATGGTCCTGCCACTTGTCTGATAATTAGAATCACCTGATTCTTGGTCCTTACCCTGGAATTTTTGATTCAGTACCTTTCCAAACTATTGGTCGAGAGTACCTTTCTTATAAGTACTTGATATATCTGATGAACCCAAATTGTCTTCAAATAACATTTATTTGAAGGCCAGGTATTGAAAACACTAAATTCATTGTATAGGGAACACATTTTCCTAGAATGTAAATTATATTATATTATGACTTTTGGTCATTGGCTTGTTTATGCCAGTGACCACAGTGTTTCTAGAAGATGCTCATTTTTTTTAGGTTTATTCTAAACCATTTGCACACTAATAACATTGAATAATATATATATACATATATGTATATATTATCAGTGAGAGAAAGACCTTTAAGTGCTTTTGCTAAAGCTAATTAGCTAAAAAATTAGCTAAAGCTAATTGCTAATTGCTAAATAGTACATTTAGAAGGAATCTTCCAAAGTACCTCATTAAGCTCAGCTTATATCACAAATAACGAACTTGTAAACTGAAAGAGTTAAGATTCTTATCATGGGCACTGATAGGTAGAAATAGTTATCCATTAATTACCAAAGAATATATTGTTGACAGTAGTGATATTATCAGTAAAATATGAGTAATAATCATTGACTACCTATATGATGATTTGTATTTGCTGTTTGTACCTTAAAACATAAGAACAAGGCACAAAACAAAAGAATCAGAACTGGGTAATTACTACCTCACTGAATCACTTTATTGTGCTCTTTGGCTTTTGATTTTTATCTGTGTAATGGAAGTAAAATAGAGTAGGAACCATTTTGGAAAGATTAAATACTTTTGCTTATAACCTAACTTTTCCAGGTGGTGATAAAATGATGATGATGATGATAACCATGATGACGAGAGCAATGACAATTTTATTAAATATTTACTTTGTACTGGGCACACAAGTGCTTTCCATGCATCTTGGTTTAATCCATAACCCCACTGGGGATAGTGAAATGCCCACGTGTGTCTTAAATAAGTATTGGGCAAACAGGATTTTTGGTTTCTGATCTTTAAAATTTCTGTTCCTATTATCTCAACCTGATAATCTCCTGCCATCTCTCCCTTAAACAATGGTTTTGCTGTATAAAATGGATTCATCCTCTCCTGGAAATCCTGGGGGGAATGTGATTGCTTACCTGCCCCTTCCGTCTGTCTTCTACACCATTCATGTGATGAATACAATTCAAAAATTAAGATCCCATTTTTTTAAAAAAAAAGTTGCTGAAAGTAAGCACTTGGGAACAGAAAAAAGGGAATTCTAAACACACCTGTTACCCCATAAAGAATTATGTACTGCATCTTTAGCTGTTGTCTGCAAGGACCCCACTTTAACCCGGGTGTTAGAGGATCCTGAGGAAGCCTGGGAAGGCGAGTAGTCTGAGTAAGTGCCTGAGGAAACACTGTTATTCAGACAGTGAGTTTTGTCAACTTCAGACTCATCAGTTGATTCTGAAATGTAAAGGGGAAAATGTTATAATGCTATGAACATTGACAATAATAAACAAAGAAAAGCAAGTATGAAAAACAGCATAACAACGTTAGGAATATATATTTGTAAAATATTTCTATAGACTATGTATCATAAGTTACGACTCATGATTCATCATGCACATGCATTTGTGGCATATTTTCCACATCAGGTTCACAGTGTTACCTTTTTTGTCCTTCCCTAGCAGAACAAGTTTGGGTGGGTACAGAGGGGTCTCAGCTAATGAAGGGTGAAGTTCCCCAATCCTCATTTCATTAGCTGGATGAACAAAAGAATCCTGAGAGATATAATAATATAGGACAAGGAAAGTAAACATTTAAACATTGGTTAACCAAGGTGGCAATATCTTTACTTGGCTCAGATTTAAAGATGGGGCTCTAGAATATAAGTCACTGTGGAGCACTGGGGTGAATCATATGTTTCTCTGAGGTGAGTACTAAAATGTTTTGTTCTTTCTAATTTAAATGAGTCCATTTGTTCATCAGACATTTTTTGAATGCCTGTTGATATGCCTGGCACTGTGCAAAGAACTGTAGAGTTTCCAAAGAAAGACAAAATGTCACCCATGTCCCTTGGAGATTTACCATCTAGTTGGGGAGATGAGATACATCTTATTATAACAGACGACTGAATTATGATAAGCTGTATGTGAGAATATGATATATATATATATATATATATACATATATGATATATATGTGCATGTAAGAATCTAAGAGGGGGGCTCCCTTAAGAGTTCTAAGAGGGAAAGTCCATCACTGACCAACTAAATTTCTTTTCGTCCTCAACCATGCTCATGCACAATTGGGTCCTTTAAATCTGGCTTTTATTGCCAATCCCCCTCTTAACTCCTACTGTTTCCCAAGTGATCTTATCCTCAATTTCTTTAGTTCTATCATGCCTTCTTCCTAAGGTTTCTAATTTTCTCATGATTAATCTAGCTTGCTAAATCTTCATTCTAAATACATTCATTGAGTGTAATGAGCAACACTGGTACAAGAATATAACTTTATAAAGACAAATGAGCATGTTAAAAAAGGCTGTGAATTTTAAACTTCTTTAATTAAAATTATTATTTCCAGTTAACCAGATAATGAGAGAGCATTGGGGAAGGTAAAATACCAAATTCTCACTTTTTTATACACATAAAAATGTTTTGCCTATGCCCACAGGGAGGTAGTGATATAAATTTATGCATGGCAGTTATCTTTATGTCTTTTTTTTCTTAAACCCTAGGTTAATTTGAATTCAAAAAATAATTTTCAGCATTTTTCAGTTTTCCCATTAATTAGTTCTTGTTAGTTTAAAACATTAATGCAATACATTTAGAAATATTTTGTTAAATCAAATAAAGAATATACTTGAGCACACAAATATAGTAAATGAAATGTGTCCCACTTTATAACTAATTGGTAATAGAAACTTTTATTATATATTTCAATGCCCCACATAGTGAGTGACAGGCTCAAGTCTTTGGGTATTGCAAAGAAACAGCCATTTCTTTAGCTCCTGGCTTAAGTTCAGTTTTTTGGGTTGGTTTTGGTTAGGTTTGTATGAGAATATTTGCCTGTGAAAAACCTGGGTATATATCTGATACTTGTTAATTCTTTAAAGAAAATATTTCTAGCTGAACCTTTCATTTCCTACAAGTGAATTTTAAGACTCAGCGAGGTCCATGCTTACAGGGAAAATTAGACCAAGATCCAGCATAGAGGCAGGATTCTTGGGTTCATGTCCAAAATCTTCCCTTATATTGTGCCGCTTCCTAGTGAGCTCAACCGAGCACATTACAGACTTTTAAAATCCCGTTCCAGATTTGAAGAGGGATAGGAAAGAGAGAGGGATTGATGGAAATTCTGGAGATGAAGAGGGAAATCTGTGTTTTCATGGATTTTGAAAACTATTTCAAGGTATTATGATAAAGTTTTAAGGTGACAGAATAGAGAGTAAAAGCCTTTACACATCTTTGTAGAAATTTGTAAGTAGAAGCAGACATAAGTTTGAGAAATTGTACCATGAAAAGTCATAAAATATGTTAAGGCTTATCAAAAAATACTCAATTACAAGGTGGCATATTTCTCTTCCATTCCTGCTTTATCATTTATTAATCAGGTTATCTTGGGCAAGTCAGTGTACCTCTCTGTACCTTATTCAATTCATCAGTAAAATGAAGGTAATAGATGATAGGAATTAATGCTATTTTCTGTCTAGTACTAACATTCTGTGAATCTAAATGTAACTTATTTGTTGAAATAAGTTGAAAAAGGAAATATTCTTATGACACCTGATACTGAAGTACAGGAATTTTGTTTTAGTCAACAAAAGAAACCAAAGAGTTGTACAAGCATAGAAATGTAAATATAATTAAGGGCTTCATTACTTCATTTTCCTTATGACTTATACAATCAATGTGCAAGTTATCCTGCATGTATAGATCAAATTTTCAAATTTGTATCCCAAGATTGTGGCTGGAGCTTGGCATGGTAGGTATGGTATGACTCAGATTCAAGTCTCTGGTTCTGCTCAAGAATTTCTACTTTGAATCAAAAAGAGCTGTAGTGACTAGGAAGAGACTCTGATATCAGCTAATCATGAGCTTGCCCCTTTTCTCCAGAGTTCTGTGGCTCTCCACTTAGGAAGATTAACACTACTGAAGCAAGAACAGTGGATTCCCACTGATCCAGTTAGACTCACTTATCTTCATGAGCAAAATGATAATGATGATGATGATGATGATGATTATGATGAAGATGATGCCATCAGTTATGGAGGATCTATTACATATCTGCTACTGTGCTACTATGCTAAACACTTTATCTGTATCATCTCTGTTAATTACTTAACTGATAACCTAGTTTTTTACTGTTATTATTTTTAAGTTATTTAATATCATTATCTTTGTTTTACACTTAAGGAAATGGAGGCTCAAAGAGGTAAAGTCATAATTCCAAGTCACCAACTCAGTGGGTGGTAGAGCCAAGATTTGAACTGGGATCTGTGCTATTGGAAGGCCATCTGTGTGGTACTATGTATGCTCTGCTGTCTACCCTAAGAAAAGCTCACCTCTCAGCTGGACTTCACAGAACAGACAAGTTAACTGTCCAACAAAGGAAATTAATCATTGATTCTGTCTCTATAAATTCTTTTAGAGAGGCTGGAGGAATCAAGTTCACGTTGGAAAAGTGGGTGAAGCTTTTGGGACTACTTCTATGGTGAAGGCAGTGGAAGTTATTGGTCGGGAATCAAATATAATGAGGGTCCCATTTTAAGCACCTTGAACCATATTTGCTTCTGGTAAGGAGACAGAAGAGGGGGAGAGAGAAAAGGTAGAATCTCTTTATTTCTTTAACCCATTGACCTTGTGTCATTCAGACTAAATCTCAGCTGCTACTGCTGTAGGGAAAGGGAGCCTAAGGTAGAAGTGACAGGGGGAAAAAACTTGTGTCTGAGCTTTCAGGAGTCCAGGTCTGGTATTAATAAAAGCATTTAAGGACATTTTCAAGGGTAATTGACTACTCTCTATTACCAGGAGAGAGATGTGTTTCCTCTATAGAAAGAAATTGGGTGGAGTCTCCTAACAAACAAATAAGTCCAGAAACTTTATGAACATGGTGGACATAGTGAACAGGTATCCAGTGAGAAGTTTTCTGTAATGCAGGGTAGTGGCCCACAAAAGGATTAAAGGCGGATGGGCGTGATTAGCACATCATTCTCTTTTGGAAGGGAAGGGAATTATCATTTATTGTAGCTTTCCTCTTCACCAAGAACTGTGCTTGCAGCTGTATAAAAATACTTGTTTTCATCTGATTTTATCTCCACAAAACTCTAAATGTTATTGTTACCTGTAGCTCTAAAGATATAAAAAGCAGAGCTCAGAAAGTTTTCAATGACTTATCAAGATCACAAAATTGGTAACAAGGTAAATTCAATTAATGTCTACTAGACTCGAAAGCACTTTCTCTTGTTCCTAAACTGTGCTCCAAGGTACCTGTGGTGCTGTTTTTAATTCATCACAGGAATACATGGGTTATTTTAAATATTTGAGGGAAACAAAGCAATACTTGACATCAATCAGATACTGTGTGAATTGGTGGCTCTCAGTTTCAATATTAGATTGCACTTTCCTTTTGATGACAATCTTTGTGAAGCTGGGTTTTTGGTGGTTGCTGTGATCAAAAATCAAGTGCTATTTGAAAATCAATGTGAAACAGAATTGTAGTATCTAATATGATTCCAAGGTTTGAGAAGATAAGTGGTATCCCACAGGGGCACACATTTCATTAATAAGTAGTTTTGTTATTTAAGCATGAAATAAAACTATTATTTTCCCTTTCAATTTATGTGTATTATTCTTCAAATGACCACTAGGCAGGGCATAAATATTTACTAAGTTGTTCAGACCTACTACTTAATAAATGGAACTGTTAGGTACTTCTTTTGGTCTATGATCCTTGTAACAAAATTACTAAGACACTAGAGGCATTTGTATACCAAGATTTTTAGAACACTTAGCCTTTACTCATTTTATGTTAATGCTTTATTTACCATACCATTCTTCTTCCTTCCTTCCCTCCTCTTTCCCTGCTCTTCTCACTCTCCCAATAGTCTTCATCATGATATTTTGCCTTTACTCATATTATATTAATGTATTAATATGGTAAATTGTTGTTTTTAGAATACATGTTATTCAACACATAGGTGATAAAATATAAATAGGTATGGCAGCCAACAGTTAATTAGTGATTGATTTGACAAAAACTCAGAGAAATTGTTCTTCCCCTCAATTAACTTCTAATTGGATGTAGAGACAGACATGTTATCAGTATTACAACACTAGACTCTATCAGTTGTTCATGTACTGAACAGATATTTATTGTGTCTGACTCTGTAGTAGGCACTGTGCTAGATACCAGAAAGACAATGGTAGACAAGACATACCTGGCTCCTGCCCTCATGAAACTCAGTCTGAAGTTAATAAACAACATAATCATAAATGTTTTCCTTACATTTAACACAAATAAACAGAATGATGTGATAGAGAAAATCAGAGGTTCTACTGATCCTGGTGATCAGGGAAGGCCTTCCTATTGAGGTCATCTCTAAACTAAAACTTGGAAAGACGTGGAAGCGCTAGTCATATAAAGAGCTGGGTGCTACATACTGAATGTTTGTGTCCCCTCAAAATTCATTAAGTTGAAACCTATATGATGATATTTGGAGGTGGGATCTTTTGGGGAGGCGATTAGGTCATGAGGATAGAACTTTCATGAATGAAATTAGTGCCATTGTAAAAGGGACCCTAGAAAGCTCCCTATCTCCTTCTACCGTGTGAAGTCACAGAGAGAAGATGGCCATCTATAAACCAGGAAGTAGGCCTTTACTGGACACTGAATCTATTAGTACCTTGATCTTGGACTTCTTAACTTCCAGAATGGTGATAAATAAATGTTTTTGTTTGTAAGCCATGTAGTCTATGGTATTCTGTTATAGCAGCCTGAATGGACTAAGCCACAGGGAAAAAGCAAATGTAAACTTTATAAAACTTATATAAAGGAATATGGAAGTAGAGGACAACCTTAATACTTCCCCGTCTTCCTTATTCATATGACCCTCCCAGGTGTATTCTTTGTTTAGCATAACGTATATTAAAACTCTTGGCATAGGGTTGGCAAATAGAAAGTGATCAATAAATATTGATTTACCTTTCCTTTTCCTTTTTTCCTCTGCTGCATTTGTAATCCATTTACCGTGCTTATTCTTATCATTTTCTGTTTCTGGTTCTGCCTACCTCTATTCTTTTCTCCTTGGTTTTCCATATTTAACCATATGGATAAATGTATCATGCAGTGTGTGATACTCTCTTCCATATTCTTGACAGTATGAACTAAATAATGACTCAAAAATGTCATACAAGTGCAAAACATACAATAAAATGCTTCATATACACTGATCAGCGGGACACTTGGCCATCTGTATTTATTTTATTTGGAAGTTGAAAATATGGAGTGTGGTCCCTTGACCTGGATGAGCAATTCAAGAAGGGAGGATGATAAAAAAGCAATAGTTTCTCTTTGCTCTAGTATGGCTAAAAGTTGGGGAAAGAAGATCTAGAATCACAGTTTTAGAAAAAGTATTGAAATTACCTGTGAGATTTCTGTTTAAGATAAAAGGTCAGGAGAAGAAAAAAAACTAAGAAAGGGTGGGATGAATCACTGAAATAATTATAAAGCTTAAGACTGAGTTTCAATTAGATAGGAAATAAGTGTTTTTAAGGAGGGCAAATTAGATTTGTGTCTTAAAAAGATCATTATTAGTGGCACGTGGGTGGCTCAGTGGTTAAGTGTCCAACTTTGGCTCAGGTCATGATCTCAGGTCCCGGAATCGAGTCCCTCATTGGGCCCTCTGCTCAGCAGGGAGTCTGCTTCTCCCTCTCCCTTTGCCTCTCCCCCTGCTTGGGCTCTCTCTGTCTCTTTCTCTTAAATAAATAAAATCTTAAAAAAATAAATAAGGGCATTAGCAAAGTAATGAGGGGGCTGTGGACAATGTAAGCCAAGAAGTTGACAGTTTTTATAATAATGCAGGACAGAGTTGAGGGCCTGAGGAGGTTGAAGAGATATACTTAGATGAAAATGTAGATTTAGGTGGCTGTTTGGAAGGGGCAGTGAGTGGAGAGAAAGAAGGAAAAAGAAATCAAGATACCTTCCAAATTTCTAGCTTGAGTAAGCTAGTAGATAACAGTGCTAGCAGAGATCAAGGTTGGGCATATAGGAGCAGAAGTAAATTTGGGGAAGAAACATTAAATATAACTTTGGATTTTTCAAGTTTGAAATGCTGGTGGGATAATTTTAAGATTTATTTTCTCTACAAGGGTTATAAAAAATTTATATCCAAAGCCATCTTTTCCTTGCCTCACGTATCCCAATCCTGTATTAAGTAATTTTAGAATCTTCTTATTTTGTAGGAAAATTACTCAGTTTATGGGTTATTATGACCTCACAATTATTTTAATGTTAAACTGTGATTGCATGAGGTTTAAATATGAAGTGTATGTGTATTTAGTGTGTACCTCCTAAATGTTGGCTTTCTTCCTTTTTATATTATTGGAGTGTCTTAGAGATAAAAGAAAAGTCTGTTTCTCTGCTATTGCATATCTGTAATATTTTAGAAAGGAAAAAGTACAATAATACTGATTTCATAAGCAAAAAGAAAAAAAAAAACAATGAAAATGAGTATTTACTTAAATTTTCTTCCCTGGATACCAGGCTGTACTCTTCTTTTCTGGGGCGGGCTGGTACCTCCACTGGCAGATATTCACACCAGGCTTATTTTTGCTCAAGCTTTTCCCTTTGTCTGGAATGACTTCCTCTCTTTTGATTTTAAAAGAATCACCCCATTATCAATATGCAGTTCAACCTTAAACTGTTTCACATAACTTTTTAATTGATTGGCAGTGATTGCTTCTCTCCAATTTCTTAAAGTATTATATTCTCCATCACACAACTAATCATGTGATCATATTTTATATGATATGTTCTCTAATTACTTCATCTGTGGTAATTTTACCTGGCTAGGCTCTAAATTAGTCGGGGACTATGTGTACATTTTATATTTCTTTTCTCTCTCTCACAGTATTTAGCACAGTGCTAAATATACAGTTGGTGTTTAATCAGTGCAACAAATTGATGCTGTGAAATGCAGATTTGTAAAAGAGTTTCACAAACCTAGATTTCTGAGAAGTAGATATAGTAACTTCTAGACGTACTCATTCATAACAGTTATGTTTCTAATGAAGATAAAAATGTGATAACCAAATTAGCTGAAGAGTGGATGAGATAGTACAGAGGTGGCATAAATGTAGTTGAATTCTTTTCAGACCACACAAATTGATAAGGATAAATATATCTAGTTGATTCTAAAATACAGGAATTAAGTTTCACATGGTTAGATCCAGAAAAGCTAAATTTCAAACTTATCTCCTCTTTGTCATGTTTATAAAAGTGTCTCCTATAAAGGTTTTAATCCAAACACAGAAACAAACAAACAAAAAATTGGCTCTAAATCTGATCAAGAATCTCACTGAGATTTGTAGAGTAAAAAAAAAAAAAAAAATCTTCATTTAGTCTTTTCTAATGACTCATATAATAAAAGTTTGGGGTAGCCAAAAGAGTATAGTGAAAATGATATAATGCACTTATTGGCCAGGCCTAGCTGAGCGAGCAAGTTATTCCTTCTGTGTGTATTGGAACTTTTGGAGCTTTATTAGTATTTTTAGGCCATGAGGGTGTCATTTACCTGTAATTTATTAAATGCAACCCTCGTAAGTTTGAAAAAGTAGAGAGACTTATTTATATTTTAGGGGGAAAAGGCACTTATCAGAGAAGATCTAATCAGTTAAAAAGACATATAATTTAGTAATTCCAAAAAATCCAAACCACACTGGCAATTACCAATAACCTTGAAATACCTCCACTGTAATCTCCTTTGGGGCTACAGGCCACTTGTGTTCATATTTTTCTTTCACAGTTTGCTCCGTGTTAGCAGTTGGATTTGAATTCTCAACACGCACTCCATGGCTTGGCTTACCCACCAGATTTTGAACAGATTTTACCATATTCTTTAAATCCTCTGGATAAGGAGTTGGATATCGTTTTAGGTTTATTTCAACCTAGAAGTTTATAAAAAGAAATTTAACATAAAAATACCTTCGGCAAACATGTTCACAAAACTACTCCATTTTATGTGCAGTAGTAAAACCAAATGCAATATAGTGAGTGTTGAGCTGGCTGAGAAACTGTATTGTAGAGTAGAGCACATTCTGCCCTCATGGGGCTTCTTCCCACCCTGTCCACCTTCTAGATTAAAAAGAATTTTTGGGTTATAGTCTATCTTTAGACCTACCCTACAGATGGTTGAAATAGCAGTAGGTCAAACATATAAGTGACCGGTAATCTGAAGATTTTAAGCGTTACTATCAGCTGCTTTTATACTTTAGAGGCTGTTCTTTCCCTATCTTAATTATTTATAAGTAATTATTTTCATGTTAAAGATATCTTTGGAATATCAACGTAGATGATAAGAGGAGACCCCAAAAGATTTACAAGTAGAGTTTATCATGGATTAAAAAAATGGGGGAACTGACAGTATCTGCTACCAAATATGCATCAGCTCTATGTTAATTAGCCTGTTATATCAAAAGGTCAGGGAGCTAATTCTTGTTAACACCTAAAAAGAATATGCTTCAGGGTGGCTTTTATATTTAGTTTTTACCCTAATAAAGCAACATGCTTTGTAGGTAATGTCTTAAAATAAAAAGAAATTTAAAAATTGAGGAGATTTTCTAAGATATTCTAGATAAACATGTAAATTTTGGCTTATATTACCCAGATATTTATTTCCATTCTTGAATTCATTTTTGTTGTATCGATCTGACTTTGGGGAACATATATATTAACAATTACTCTTCACATTTAATTTAGAGAGAGAAAATATGAGACACTTCCATATAGAAAATCCCATTATCAGAATATTTAAAATATACGTAAATTGGAATAAATACCAATTATCCATGCTGATTAAAAGGGAGTGGGAAGGAAAACAAGGAGCAGATTTATTTGTCCTGGCTTATTCCAACCGTCATGCCTTTTGCATCTGAGTAGAACCAACTTTACAAAATGGAATGGTTTACGTGATTGTGGTATGTGTCTGTTAAAAGTGTGTGGGGGGGTAGGTTGGGAGGAATGGAGAAGAAAGCAAAGCCGAAGAAGGAAGGAGGGGGAATGAGGGGAAAGGAGAAAGTGGGGGGGGGCACACACATACCCACCCAGCCACACCCATGTAATTCATGGGATGTAAGAAACTATGATGGTGGTATAGATCTGAGGATTATAAATATGAATTCAAACACTTTTGCTCATCTGCAGTTTTAGCAAATCCACCAACTTTGTTATATTTATTCTTCCTTGTGGCTCCTTTTCCATATCAAACACTGGGATTGGACTCCACTTGATGACTTCTAACATTCCTTTCAGTATTAAACAATCAAAATTATTTTTCCAATAAATTTTTGGAAAGCTGAGGAAAAACCAGATAATTTTGCTAGTATAAATATTGTTGTAGTCTTTTATACTCCCAAACAAATAAGAACGAAATTAATAATATATAGAAATAAAGCTACAAAAATATAACCTAAGACAAAGTTAGACTTCTCAGAAAAAAAGTGTAAGTTGTTAGAATGTAATATAAATATAGTCCAGGGTACTTAATTTATAATGCATTCTTAAATAAACATAAAAAGAATGATATCCATGCTAGACAAAGTCCATTGGGATGCATGCATTCTTGGATCTGCTGTTTAAGTTGGTATTAGAAATGTTAATCACAAATTAAATCTAAATTTTAAATTATATTGTTGAACTCATTTAAAAGTACTTGAGAACAAAGGGCTAAAAGTCAAAAAACTACATTTAAAAGATATAGATTGTAGAGTGGTATGGCTATCATGCCAATTAAGAACATCTTTTAATTTTTAATAACCAGTGGTATATGAATGAAAATTAATTTTCATGTAGGGCAATAGATTAAAATTCTATGTACCTTAAAGAAATCTTCAATGCTAAAATTACACTTCTAAATTGAATCAAAAGCAAAAAAAAGTGAAATGTTCTTCTTTAATTGAATTAAATTCCACATTGAATAATGTAATCTATTTTTTGTAGATGCTATGTCTCATCTGACACAATTAGATGACTATTTACTAATGGCTGCAGTGCCAATATTTTCTGGTTATTTTATAAGCAAGTTAATGTGATATTTTGGTCATATCACCAGAATATGTTTGGGTTCTTTATCTCCGAAAAATATTTAAATTTGGAAACAGAAGATTTGTCAAGCTAATGAAGTCTAAGCTTTAGAGCCTGTCACCTGCATAGGTTCTTTCCAAAGCCTTGTGAGGGGCCCTACTTTTTTATTTACATGGTTATTTCATATTCTTTTCCTTAAAGAGGCCCTTCTCCAAACTGTGGGAAGTTCAGGTCTTGTCAAACTTGGATTTGTTCCACCTAGACAATAAGCTCCTTGCTTCCCATTTACTAGTCTACCAACAGAACTTGGTGGACCTGGAGTCAGAAGACCTAAATTTAAGCCACAGATTTACCCCCAACAAGCTATCAACCACTAATCTTTCTGTCCAGTTTCTGCTTATGTAAAATGGGAATGATAATATCTCCAGTTTATCTAGAGCTAAAATGAGATAATAACTGTGAAAATCTTTTGAAAATGTATAAATTCTATGCAGAGATTAGATACTATTTTCTAAAATCAGATTCTACTTAGGTATTTTTAAAATCTGAATTTTTTTGGCAGTTTAGATTCTACTATATATACTGTGTATATGTAACTCCACACTACCTGTAACTGTTTGGACTTTTTTTCAGATCGTATACAGCACCAACTATCATTTATTCAGTATCTGCCATGTGCCAGGCACATGTACAATATTTTATAAGGATATTTAATTTATTAATAGTTATTTATGTAATATATAATACTTATTTCATTGTGTACCATATAGATTTGAATATAAATAATAAATGATTATAATTATTAACATTCATTAAATACTTATAATTAAACATAGTTTAAATTTCATAACCTATTGTAGCACCTGTTCCTGTCTCCCTGAGAATAGGGCTCAGGCAGTATAAGTTCCTTGCCCAAAGTCATACAGCTATGGGTAGCACTGCCCAGATTCAAACTCAGGTCTTTGACTCCAAAGTTTATGCTACAGAAGTGTCACTTGGCTTAGGGCTATTCTCTGATATAAGTAAAGCACATAGTTGTACATTCCTGGAGAAAAGATTGTGTGTGTAAGTCTAAAATGTAAATTGTATTGAGTTAAATAACAAGATAAATTCAATTTTTAAAACATAAAGCAATTTCTTCTTAAGGGAAACTATAATATTTTATAATTGTTGTTTGTAAGCTCCGTAAAAGCATATTTTATACCCTTTACAGATTGTTTTGCCTACGCCTTTCTACTTTTTAACTCTTGTGCAATGCTTCAGAAATGAAAAAACATGATCATAAATACGATTTTATTAATAGTTCAGTCATGCCCAAATAAGAACAGTTTCTTTATATGTCTAAATACATAGGCTAGAAATATTCCCTCATTCTAATATGGGATGGAGAAATAATGTAAATTCATTTATGATATAAATAGGTGGGAAAAACTGTCAATTGTTCTTACCAAAATGTGTATATCACTCACCATAAAGTATTTGTTCATTTTACATATACATTTTATTGAAATGCAAGATTTTCACTTCAATGTTACTTCATTTTAATTTTAGAAAAATAGAAATGTTTCACAACATTCTATATATTTCAGACCTAAAAAAAGTGCAGTAAATGCAAATAGCAGCTGCAAGATGTTGGAGACTCCCAAAAGTTTAGCAATGGAAGAAAAAATTCGTGTTAATAGCTAGGGCATTTAGAGATGGTATCTTGAATTCTCAAAGAACTGTGGTTTTCTTATATAATGATTAAATTCTAATTTGGTTTGACTGTAAATTCCAGTAAGAGAAGTAATAGTTAATGCTTTGATTACTGATCATTAGGGACCTTATCCTGGGAATTAATCAGAGCATTTTACACAGAAAGGAAACCTATAGGAGTTTTAGTTAGGATTCTCAGCTGGCCTTATATTGCAAAAAGAATATAAGACACAGAATAAGAATCTAGTCCATTACATGTGACTGGTAAAGCTTACCAAAAATGTAGTCTTCTTTCCAATCCCATGAAGACTTTTTTTTTCATTGAACTTTTAAACACCCAACCCACTGAGATAAGGAAGCCCTGTTTGCCACAACTCCCAAACTAATCTTCTCTTACAGGAATTCTCATCATCTGTGCCTTCAAATTAGAGGGAAATTGATGCTTTTCAACAGATGTCCATCTTTGTGCTCAAAGTCCACTCTCAACAAATCTCAATTCAAATCTCATGCTATTTTAAAAATCAGGTTTTAGTTACTTAATCTCCCTCTGAATTGATAATACAAAAATGTGTGTATGTGTGGGGGCAATTTAGATTTTATCAATAGTGTCATCAACATTCTGCTCAACTATTGGTATTCCCACACTTTAAAGAAAAAAAAACTTTAAAAATAAAAACATAAATAAAAATGAAGCACCCAACTCAAAAATCATGCCATATATCCCACCATTAGGCACCTCAGTATTGGTGTTCCCCGCCCCCCGCTGTGACTTGGTCTCTCCACCCCATTGCCAATGTCAACGAACAAAGAAAATGAGGTCAAACATTGGCAATTGGATGGTTTCTGTAGGATCAACATTTCTTACCCCAATTCATGCAGAACATACCCCATAAACCACTGTTCCAAGGTTGCCTCTACATGGGGGATTCTCCTACCCCAAACACCTAGGCCTACCTGTCTGCCACTTAGAGAGGGAAGAGTGGTGGATTGTGCTGCAACTGGCAATGGAGTACACATGCTCCTTTCCTGCTGGAGGCCACTTATACAACCCCATGCCAGCTGTGGGTCATTCTGGGGGACGGGCATATCTTGGATCTGCTGATCACACCTGGCCCATGGTGTGCAGCAATCGCCAGACAGTCTGGCAGGTTGGAGAGTAATCCCACGCTGGCCCCTTTCCCAGGGGGCTTGGCAGGAGTGATCCTGTGGGAGAAGGAATCTCCATTTTCTGGGAGAAAGAGGAGCACTGTAGCAATACTTTCACTTTATCATTTTTCTACTCTTGATTTTTTTTTTCACTCTGGGTAATGCACTTAAAACAACCATCAGAAAATTAGTTCGAACTCTTTGTAATAAAACAGTATCAATATCATGTGAAGCTAATGGGTCACAATTTTTTCACACAATGCAGCATTCATATTACACTATACACTCTATAAGTAGGGCATTGTACTCTAGTCCATTTGGAAGTTGATGGCAGAGGTCAGTGGTTCCTTCCTAAATTTTATGCAAATGAAAGGTAAAATGGTGCTAAATTTAATGTATATGTAATGAACCAGAAAAGTGTGATTTAGTGTAAGATTTCTGTATATTCCATTCATCATACTTTCATGATGATTTATTTAGAAGTTTGTTTGTGTTCTAATTTGTCCAATAGCTCAATGGCATTGGAAATATTCAAATTAGTCAAAACCAAGTGTTTGAGATTTTTGAAACACATACTGTTTCACCAAAATATAAATAAATCAAATATAAATAAGCATAAAGAAAATGCAATCTAAAGTATAATGAACCTACTCTGATTATAAACAAACCTGACCACATAACACACAAACAGGGCTTCTAAATAACTGTTTGCCTTTTATGTTTTCATTGACACATATACCAGAGTATATTAAGCATACTATTTTCTTATTAGATCCTTTGAAAATGGATTTTTAGGACTAAGTATGTAGTTTTTGACATTCAGTGAAGTAAAAGAATGAATCGGAGGTCCAGTATAGAATGCATCATCCATTGGTTCTAGATTTAACATATGAAATCTTAAAAGAAGAACTTAAATGCTATAAGGGTCTTTGTTTAGTTTGGCATTGCTTTTTCCAGAAATTCACAAGTTAAAAAAAAAATGTTTCTTTGGTTATTAGATAGCACTAACCAAGCATTCAGAAACATTTTTTTAAACTCAAATCTTATCAAAACTATCATTTTGATTTGGAAATCCATTTTGGATTTTCCACAACGATGTAGAGGTAGGCTTTGTCAATTACCTTACTGTCTAAATCTAGTAAGGTTCCAGGGTGTGTTGGTTTAAGAAAAAAGTTTAGAAAATGTGGGAATGAGGGGACAGAAAAGAACACATTACACAATTTAGATCTATTAATAGGATGCACATACAATTACTTAGGCAATTAGTCACTCAGAGTGAGAGCTGTTAGTATTCATGATGGAAAAAGTACACAAATAATACTATAAAAGATTAGAGATTCAAGACGTTGCTGTGATGATAATATGAAGATCTGATGTTGATAAAATTTCCTCTGCACTTCAAATTTAAATAATGAAAAAATATAGATTTTAAAATTCCACTTTGTTACTTGACTTAGATTAGTTCCAATAAAGGATTTTACAAAAGATGTTTGAGGTGAAAAAATTGAATATCACCTGCTACTAGGCACTTGCCTCCTTTAAAACTTGCTTTCTCATTTCAGAAAACTCATAAATTCTTCTCAGATACCCCAGAGACATAAAATCTTTCAGATATTTTAAAGCCAATATAACATATTAATCCATGGGCTCTTCCCTAAATGTATTCTTTGGTCTCATATGGCCTGCCTGGTGCCTTGCTTAGTGATTAGAATAAAACCATTCCAGTGTTTCAAAAATGTAGTAAGTTGCTTAGGTAAAGCCTATCACTCAGATTCCTTTGTTTGTTTTGGCTTTCTCTCACCTTGAATCTCTTTCATGTTGTTACTCTGTAAGATGGGGTGGTGTATCAAATTTGCTCAGTCAGAATTGGGACATGAGTCTCATTCTGAAGCACACCACTGCTTCTCAGATTACCCTCCTGCTATAATGAAAGAGATGTGAAGATGTAGCTGACCTTCAAGCAGACGTCACTCAATCTGTCCCAAAATCTATTTTAATCGTAACAATGGACAAACAAAAATAATGAGAAGAAAGAAGAAACAAAATGAAAAGTTTCACCTTAACTTTCCCAGCATTTTCGTCATCTTCCTTTTTTTCTTCAAATTCAAAGGCAACAGTCATGCGTTGTTGTCTCTGCTCTTCCCACAGTGTAGGGTTAAAGCTGTCACTGTCTGACTGGAAATCTACAGTTAGATTCCAAAGTATTATTGCTTTTTCTTTTTACATGAGGTGTTATTAATAGAGCTCAGTACACTATGCAAAAAATGGCAATAGGTACTACAAACAAGTACAAAAATTTAAAAAAGGGGAAAATAAAGAGAAAAAAAGAAGGAAAGAAAGGAAAAAAGAAGGAAAGAAAGAGAGGGACTAAAATTCCCTTGATATTTGTTACATGGTTTTTTTACATCTTAATTCAAATTCAGCTTTCCTAAGTACATATTAACTATATATTGGGATTGGGAAGTTTTCTAGTGTAGAGAACAGGCTCTCCAAAGGATAATTAATAATAATAATAAAGACAGCCGGACTACACTTTTTAAACATTATTTTTTAAAATCGTCACACTAGCACACCAGTGGTAGTACTAATATATCCTCAGTTTGTTAATGAGAAAACTCTAGGTGAGTTTTAAGAGAACTGCTCAAAGTTATACAGCTTCTCTAGGTCAATGCAGGATTCTATTCCATGTCTGTGTGATTACAGAGCCCATATCCATATGGGTATGTAGCCACTAAACTCTATTAGGATTTTATAAAAGACACTACATAACATTGGCTTTTCAGTAAAGTGTGTGAGATTGCAAGCTTTTCTTTTTAGTGTGTGTATGTGGTGGCGGGGGTAATGGAGGGGAGATTGTTTTTAGGGTAACTTTAAAATTATGGTCTAAAAACTGGTCTAAATATGTCTTCAATGAACAAGGAAAATAAGTGGCTTATAAATCTTTAATTTATATCAAAATGTGGGCTAATAGTAATATCTTCCTTACCAACATTAATTGTGAAGATCACATGAAAACGCAATACAAGTACTTAGTTTAGGCTAAATTCTTTCCCAAAAGATGCCCCCCCCTTTTTAAAGAAAGATGCCCTTTATCATATATTTCCTTCTTTGTTGCAAGGGATTCTGAAAATTCATTTATTATGCTTCTGCCTGAAAAGCCAAAGGGTGACTTACTTAAAGTTCAAGAAAATTTTTCTATTACCAACTCGTCTTTCCTCAAAGGAAAACAGAACAAAACAAAACCAGGCTAATTCCTTAACATCATACACCTTGCCTGACTAGATCTACCTCACTCCCTACAATAAATAAGGGATTTAATCTGCGAGACAGTATCTCAGAAATGACTAGCAAATCTGAGACTCTTTTCACTTTTCCCTACATTTTTTTGGAAATGAAATATTTTGGTAATCTAGGGATACTAATATGAAAATATAAGTAAAGTTGTACGAATAAAAACAATCCTTCCTTAAGGTTTTTCTTATAGCTTATGTAAACATGGTGCCTTCTCTTGCATAAATTCAAAAGATCAATTTTACTGAAGTCTGAAAAAAAATGAAAACAATCTTTCCTTTTCCTACTTTTGTAAGTCAAAATGTGAATAAAAATATTCTGAAGTATCCCAAAATGATTCACTTATATTTATAAGTCATAAATACTAAAGATGTTTATTATAATTATCCCTGAAAATAGATCCATAAACAGATAGTTGCTTTTAAAAGATGCTCTCGTTCAAGTCAACTGGGTGGATTTAGTCCATGGGTGAATCAAAGTGGGTTTACTCTTCTAAGAATTACCATTACTGTAAGACTGTAGAAAATATGTGTGGCAGCCTGTTCTGGCTTGGGCTAAGGAGCCGATGCAGAGTTCCAAATGGTAAAGGACAAATCTCTTTCATAAAAATTTTATGAAATTTGTCATCATAAAGGATAGAAGATTTAATTTAAAAAAAAACGGGGGGGGGGCGCCTGGGTGGCTCAGTTGG